CTGCACACATAGGGACATAGCCATCATTTCAGAAATGAGGGGGACGGAAGTATATAAAAAAAAAAGAACTTGACTTTTGTTTAATTTACAGGCTTTATTTTTTTTGGATTAAATTCATCAATTAGCACTGGATTATTCATATACTATATTTATTACCTCGAAACAACCTGACAGTTCAGGACTTGACCTGAACTTTTTTTAGCTACAGCAATAGCGGGATGCCTTTGTCCATATTAGGGATTTCCTGCATGTCATAAGTTATTACTTCTACTGGACCATTTTGGGCTTTCTGCGCGAGAGCACCCTCCGGCTGCGAGTATGAATGAAACATACACTGCATGAGAGTGTCAAGCGCTCTGTAGTGTCCATATCGTCTCGTTTTGGATATTAATAAATCGTTCGGTCATACATAGACTATCTTGTTTATACGCCCATGTGCTCACACATCCAAAGCACACACACAGAATAAGTGATTTAAAATGCATCTGATTGACAGATAAATCATGGTTAATCTATCAGCCAGATGCAGGTAAAACGCATGCGCTCTTATTTCAATGTTATTTTAGCTTAGTTTAACTGCACTGTTAAAAAGGGCGATTCTTATCATTCAACTGAAGTATGTGCATATATTTTAGACACTTACATTGTTCTTGCTCCATCCATGCAATAACTGCGTCCTTCTATCAACAGAGTTTCTATTTGCTTATACTGCTGTGTAATATCGACAGTATGACCCATTTCAGCAGCCGACAAAATTTGGATTTAAAATCAGAGCATAGCCCACATTCACTAAAATGCTAATGATGTGGATTCAAAACGACAATGCCGGTGATTGACAGTCAAAGCAAAGCAGGGTTTGAAGGCCCGCAGCTGAACTGGAAGTTTTGATTGGTTTTGCACCCGAGTCAGACCTGTCTGTTACTGGCTGAAGCGCAGGGCTCCACCCCCAAAATTTGAAAAGTGCCCATCAAACGCCAGCTCGCTCAGTTTCTCCATCGGCACCTCCTTTGTCTATTTTTTTTTTGTACTTTGTGAAAAATAAATGTAGCCAAGTTGAATACTTTAGTTTTATTCTACTCAAGTAGAAGTACCACAATTTAATTATACTTAAGTAGAAAGTGTAAAAATGTGCTCAAGTACTGTAACAAAAGTATTTGTAATTCGTTACCTTCCACCTCTAGTATTACACACACACACAGACAATGAGCTTACCGAGAGCCTCATCATCTCATGACAGAACCGTTAAACTGTGGGACAGATGCATTTTTATTCTTGCTTTATGCACGGTGTGTATTCCATTTCCTTTCTGTTTCTCACTAATTTTCTATATTTCACAGGTGGGCTAGTTTGCGTGTGGAGGCCCCGTCAAGCTGCTGGAGGTGAACCCATGAATTTGTTTGTGCTGATACACAGGGTGAGCTTGTGCTTCCGGTCTTTGGAAAGGTTGACTTCCTGAACATCAGCTAAAAGGACACGGTCATTATGCTTACATTTGTAATCTTTTCTATCAGTTGTAATGTTGCATTCTGCACATTTAAATTTTACATGCATGAAACATTTTGCAGTAATGACACTACTGCCTTAAAGCCATATTAAGAATATTTTCTTTGATTTTATTCAGTTACATTAAGTACAATGATTTAAAGATTTTAAGGACATGCTTTTGATTTTTTTAGTGGTCTGCAAGCTCATATGGGGAAAAGCAGATGTCCACTGAATGTGCTGTGATGATGTTCTCCATCGTCGAAAATCCATCCAGGATAGAGCTTCACCTTCATTTGATCCCCTTCTTCTAGCAGCAGAGACACTCCATTTGAGGAGCTGATAAAACCGCTTGCTTGCTGTCCATGTGTAGAAATGATGTGCTGGTCGTTTTTAAACAGGCCTGCAGTAACGGTGCTCTCTGGACTTCCAAAGGCCTTGGAGAAGACCCTGAAAGCATACGCACCCCTCACAGGTGCTGTAAAAATTCCTGTAACAGACAGTGGTTAATTAGATGCATTCAAATGAGAGCATTATAGAAAATCCCACAGATACATTCACACTATATGAATAGATTCACCGGTGTTTGGATCGTAGGCGTCTCCAATATTAAGACATATTCATAAATCAGGGTGTGTAGACCATTATGAAAGGGTCCAACGCTTTGTGGTCCGAAAGAGCTCAACAGAGAGGCTGAGAAATCCACTTTAGGAGCTAAAACAAACAAATCAGATTACAAATGATCTCATGTTTACATTGTTGAAAAGTTTTGGGTTGCTAAGTTGTTTACGGTTTCAAAAGAAGTCTCTTAAGGCTGCATTTATTGGGTTGAAAAATCAAATAAATGTATTCTTGTAATGGCAAAGCTAAATTTTTAACAGCCATTACTCTCCAACGCTTTGTGGTCCGAAAGAGCTCAACAGAGAAGCTGAGAAAGCCACTTTAGGAGCTAAAACAAACAAATCAGATTACAAATTCTCTCATGTTTACATGGTTCAAAAGTTTTGGGTTGGTAAGATTTGTCTCTTAAGGCTGCATTTATTTGTTTACAAGAATACATTTAATTTATTTGATTTTTCAATGGCAAAGCTAAATTTTTAACAGCCATTACTCCAGTCTTCATTCTGCAGAAATGCATTCTAATAGTGATTTAGTGCTCAAGAAATATTCGTATAATTTTCAGGATTTTTGATTATAGTTCGAAACTTGCATTTATATGGAATATAAATTTTGTAATATGTCTTTACGGTCATAATGCATTCATGCTAAATAAAAGTATTCATTACTATACCAAGAGTGTTACTTTAGCTCTGTACAAACTGCAGTACATTTTAGAAGAAAAAAATATATATAAAAAAAAAAACATTCACAATTCAACAAATAAACGAATCCTGACTCATTTAACTTGATGACAAATTTACAAAGTCGTAACAGCCTTAATTTTCAAAGTGACTTTAGAAATTGTAATTTGTTACCTTGATTCTGCTTCATTAGTTCAGCCATTTTGATTTTGGTGTCAACTGTTGTTTTATTCAAAATCGTCAGTTCTTCTGCTTGTTCTAAAATAATAAACGAATGTTTAGTGCATATGTGGACAGTGAATATAAGCTGAAGAAAAAGACTTAACTTCTTAACCTTTGTCAAGTAGTGATATGCAATTTAACTTTATTTTATAATCTTTCAGTAGAGCAATATGGTGTTATAAACATTTAGACATATACAAATTATTGCAGTTATTGCACGTATAGGATCCGGTCACGTTACCTTTGTTCTCGGTTTTTAGTCGCTCCATTTCATTCTCCATAGATTCCATCCTTTTTTCCATGGTTGTTATTTTACAAGTGTCATAAGAATCAAAATTATTGCACTGTCAGACACTAGCACTGCACAACAAAATCCCCAGAGTTAAACCAACTCT